GTTAGTGTAAAAGGGGTTTTCTGCCTGCAACCAAACAAGCAACCTGCAGACCCACGCTGCGCATGAAAAAAGGTAAGGGAAGTGCAGAAGTGTGTTGGCCTTTGGAGGGTGAAAGGTAAACACACCAGAGTTCATCTCTTTGTGTCTTTCTGCTGGAAATTCCAGCTTGCACTCCCATGTTCATGTAACCCTGAGCAGCCCAGCGTATTTACAGGCTGTGCCTGTAAATACGCTGGGCTGTGCCTCTCTTATTATTACTCCTGGGTGTCTGCCCTGGGACTTTCCACAAGCACTTGAGAGGCCCGGGGGTGCATGTACACAGAACTATATAGACTGTCACACAAGCATGGGAAAGCAAGGACCAGTGGGTGAGAAGGTGTGTGCAAAATCTTCATCCTAAAAAAAAAAACAACTTAAAGAGCTGAAAGCCCTGAGCATCAGCAAGCTATTAATAGTGGCTGTGAGGCCAATGAGTGCACTGACTGCTCTAAATTAATGCTTGCCAGTCACTGACTCTGTAATCATTTTGGAAAAGCACACAAGTGCTGACAAGTCGTGGGACTAATTTGCTAAAATCCCTAGGGAAGTCTAGTGTGAGTCACGTGTCAACACACGCTCCAGATCAGCAAAAGAAAAGCAAGCATTGATTGGAGAGAGCAATTACTCAAAACAGAAGCCCCGCATTCATTACAGGGCTACACTTACATCTTTTAAGGCGGAGCGGCTTATTTCCTTACCTCTGTTCCTCTCAGATCTCTGGGAATGTATACATCATCTGTCATCTGCACTGTCAGCCCAAAGTCCACTAGGACTGCTTTGTCTGACATCAGGACAATGTTGCTGGCTGTGGAGAGATGAAAAGGAAGGAGGTGTGATTCAAGTTGGTGCTTGAACTGATAAGATTTCAGTTTCAGGTCCACTGAGTCTGTATTGATCTTAAGCATGAAAACGATAAGTAGGTCACAGGCTTTGACGAAGGAAATTGCCACGAAGAGACTCATCCTTGTCCCTAAAATGTCACCAAGGTTTAATTACATATTTTGACTGCAGGCAGGAAATGCTAAGAACCACAGCTTGTCAGAGGGCCTGAATGGTCATTTTAATAAGTCACTTGCCTCTCTGGACCATAATTGTAACCCTGACTGAGCATGAGAAGCAGGCTGGAATTTCCAGACTGCCAGCGAGCCTTTAAGCAGTGAGGCTGACAGACAGCTCTGCAGAATGCTTTGATCCCAGCAGCACTGCTGTGGTTCCTCAGCTGAGCTCCACCTGCAGTAACCAGGGCGTATTTGTGTGATCTGTCATGATAGCTACCAGTCACTGTGACCAGGCTACCTTTGAAGAATTACTGAAAAAGCATTAGTCAATCTATCAGATTCCTATGATCTGCTTGGTTTGTGGCTGTTCACTGATTCATTCTTTTCAGCGAATTGGGTTATTTACAAGAGCAATATCCGTCTGTGGCTTGAATTTGACGCATAGAAGATACAAACTGTAATTGCATAATTTCCTGTAACCTATGTACTTGTTCAATACCATGGAGCACATCCATCAAGAATAAGTGACACACATCTTTTGTGCTTACGTTTGATGTCATGGTGAATGACGTTGTGTGAGTGCAGGTACTCCAAGCCCCGCAGGACTTGCTTGGTCACCCAGATGATTTCGAACTCTCTCATTGGTCCGCAGCTGTCCAGTTTCTCCAGCACAGAGCCGCCTTCGCCGGCCTCCATGAACAGGTGGATGCTCTGGTTCCAGAGCAGAACGCCGTACAGCTCGGCGATGTTCTCATGGTGAAAGCGGGCCTGAAACTCTACATCAGCGGCTTTGAAGTTCTCCATGGGGATCTAGCGAGGGAGATAAGACACATGATCACAAATAGCCCACCGTTTTGGGAAACATGTTCATCTTATTTCTTGGAGTGAGTTAAAAGGCTCGGTGACACCATTGCATTTGACTGTTAAATATGAAGCAAATGAGCTAAATGAGACATCCTGGGGACTGCTGGCCAAATGGATCCGTGTTTGCTTACAGTGACAACAAACTGACTTTTCACATTTTGCATTTTTATTGGGAAGGGTGGCTTTATTTGACAGTGCACAGAGGATTTATCAGTTATTGGTAGAGCTAGCTAGCTCGGTAAAATGCATACTTAGATCTGTCCATATATTTTCTTCCACTTCTGTATTGTGGTTTATCTGGAGCCCATCCCAACTCCACACAGAAAGGCCCCAGCCGGCCGGTGGATTTGAACCCAGGAATCCACAGTGCTAACCACCACACAGTGTGAGAGCAAAATGTCCTACTTACATATAAAATGCTGAAGTTTTGGACCCTGCCTCAAGTGGCGATTTAAGGAACTACAATTAATGGTTCATTTTTATTATAATTATTGTTTTTTTTACCCTGACAGCCTAATCGGGTAGTTCAGCTCAGTTAGTTCTGCAAATAAAATATACATTTAATACATACTTCACAAGGACACTGACTCTTTCTGTATTTAACAGATTAGCTGACATAGTAACATACTGTTATCCTGTTTTTTGTGCTTTAAGAAATCTGTTGTTATTAGTTTGTCAGTGATAATTTTAAAGTTGTTTCTTTAAAGAAATAATTTCTCAGTAATTATTATCTGATGATGGCATTGTTTTAAGCAGATAAGGACATCCTAACTCCAAGCCCTTATTGCAAACTATTTCCAGTAAATCCTTCACAGCAGCGTGAAAAAAACAACACTGTGTCAACATAGTATTCTGACGATAACACCTGACTAGAGAGGAAAGTACTCCTTCCTCATTTGTCAATATTTTCCATACAACAGCGTAAGCACGCTGCCTCCCTCCCTCCCTCCCTCCTCTTTCTCAAGCATAGGTCTGCCCAGATAGAAGCAGCATGTGTGGTTTTTACATGTGTCTTTAATGAATCTGACTCTGTCACAAACATCCAGAGGAGCTGCGGGAAGTTATTGTTGAAATTCCAGTCTTACATTAATCCCAGCCCATGTTGTAAGTTTGTTACAAGAACAAATAGTTCTTCATTCAGCAACCCTGTTCCTCTTTCACTCAGTAAACATAGCAAATGTCACGCTGGCACCAACAATCTTTGTACAAACAGAGGAGTAATTGGACTGTGAACAAGCAGTATTTGGCAGGTTAAATATTTGGCACGCAGGTCAAGAGCTGTCGAGAAGTCAAGCACAGGCGGGATTTCTAGTCACCGATTAGGAAGACTCACCAGTTTGCAGGCCATTCTCTTCCTGGTGGTGGTGTCCTGAGCCAAGTGGACTTTCCCAAATGAGCCCTTAGGCACGAGGCCAGACCCATGATTCTTGTAGGTCAATTTCCATGGAAACAGGAGAACGTCCATGTTAATCTGGTAGCGGCCTTTTTTCACAGCCATGTCCTTCTATTTGTTTTTAGGAAGGAAAAAAAAGAAAGAAAATTATGCAAGTTTTTCTAGGCTGACCACATCAACTAAACATTCAGGTTATGTTGAAGATTAAAAAAAGAAAAAACAACAAGATTCTCACCTTATTTAGGAGGACTCCCATTTCCTCTGGCAGGTTTGGCAAGGCTGCCGTCTGCATGCTGGACAGGAGGTTGACAAAGGACAGGACCTCTGTCACAGTCCCATATCGAACTCCATTAGCGTAATCCTTCTGCTCACTCCCCAAAACCACCACCTCCCCTGCCTCCTCATTCTCATCCATCTCCTCCTGGGAAAGTCCTTCTTCGTCTTCTAACGACAAGATTTCTTCTTCCTCCTCTTCCTCGAGCCGATATAGAGTCTCTGCAGCGTTAATAATGTCCTCTAAATTCATGTGAGTCAAGAGCAGTTCTATTCCCGAATCATATTTGTAATCCATGTTAATGCTCCGTTTGTCCAGCTCCATCTAAAATCAAACATCAGGAGGTCAGTGTGGGGACTGTTTCCGTGCTGACTTGAATTGTATAAGCAAGCGGATCGTTCATGACAGGGAAGGTTCACGTGGGGAGCAGGACGTGCAGTGAAACTACACTTAAGAAGTGAAGCTTTGATACAGCTGGCTGAACACACAGTTGGGAGGGGCTTCACAGGGCTGTTTTCCAAGCAAAAGAAGGGAGTTTCGCAGTAAAGCTGGGAAGCCCCCCCAGGAAAGCTTGAACCTTATTATACATTTATAAAACAACAACTGCCCATTATTATAACTATTATTAGCATTATGATGCTGCGATAAAGAGTTCAGCTCACATTATTCGATGCAAATCATACACATGTGCATTAATGCAAACCCCATGCAACATTTGAAATAAATACATAAAAAATAAACCGTATTACGATCCAAACATGCAAACTTAGAATAGGTGCCTAGAAAAATAAAGCAAACAAACAAACAAAAAACAGTAGCTGTAGAGCTATAACTAGCTATCTGCCAAATATTCAGCTGCTTAAAGAAAAATAGAGTTTCGCTGAATAACAGGAGTTACTTCTTTGAGCGACAGAAACCACGCGTTACCTTATGAAATTGAGTCGGAAGCTTAAGCGCACCGTCGTGTCTTCATTGTGGCGCCCCGCAGACTGTCTGATGTATGAAGCTTCGTGGATTGTGTTTAGAACGAAGTAAACACAGGAAGTGTGGCGTGTCTGTGGAGGTGGAGTACCTCTTTAGTGTCAGCTGCCAGCAGCTCTCTCTCGCTGTCTTTGTAGGTTTCGTTTTCCCTTTTCTTGTTTCCTCAAATTAAAAAACACAACAAAAAAATAAAAAATAAAAAAAAACCGAAAAGCTTTCAGGACTGTTGGGTGCTTTCCTATCGGGAGACGTGTCTCGTTTAATGTACGATGCATAATATATCACCAACACTGAAACTTATTCGTAGTAAATAAAATAAAAACAAATTTCAATTCAATTTCAAATTTGATACCTTTAAAAGACGTTACAGAGTCAGCCCAAAGAAATCGGATGATAGTTTTTTAAACACTAGAAAGTGTCTTTTCTGGTATCTCTAGGTTGCCGTAGACAGGACCAGCCGCATGCGCATTTACGCTTCATTCCGAAAAGCAATGGCGTCCTCCTTTGCTGTGTGCAGGTTACATATGAGAGGAAGGGCCAGCCTCGCGAAGTGCCTACAGAAAACCGACGCGTTTCTTCACAGAAGTATAGGAACAGACGTCGTTATTGCCCGAGCTGAGGCCACTCGAAGTGACGAAAGTGGTTAGTAATTAAGCCTAGAAAAGAAGCTGGCCTTTAGGCTAGCCCCAATACACCGCCGTGTGATGTCGAGTGAGCACCATTCCAAACTCCCCTGAGAAACGTTATATTTTTGTTGGTGAAGGCCGTAACTCTGAGTGCGTTGTGCGTTTTACACAATATGTGACCTGTAAGAAATCACTGGGTCATACGTAAAATTCGGCACTCTGACTGTTAACGATAAAAACGCGATAACTCTTTTTCGGCTAAAATTTTATTATATAGAACTTGTACCTGTCATTTGCGGGACGTGTATATTTACATAGAAAGCCCCACTGTAAAACTGACGGTTTTGTAAATGACGTTTGTTGACATGTTCTGGGACAATTGAACAATGAAAACTAGAACTTAACCGACGATACATCACATTTTTTGCATTTTATTATCAATTTGGTGCATCCCAGTCTTTGAACGTTTATCAGTGCAAAACTGACGTGACACACCACAGAATTATTGCCTGCTGTCACCGGTAAATGTCATATTATTTCCCAGTAAGCTGATATCAGTCACCCAAGTTGAAACTAATGTTAGGCCCATATATTTGTGCACCCCCAACCAGTCCCAAAGGTCTTATACAGCTAATATTGTCCCGTCTGTCTGTTAACAACAGTGTGCTTATTACACAGTTTTAAATGTCTTACTCTCAGAGAAAAAAACTTGACTTGTTGGATGGCTTCTTCTCTGTTGTCAGATGAAAAGAATGGAAGGAAGTCTCTGCACACTCTCCACATGGAGAGACAAGAACAAGCAGAGAGGTCCGTTCTCATCAGCTGTCAGTCCAGTACCAATGAGAAAAAGTTCCTCAAGTATTTATCAAAACATGGAGAAATCAACAAATACTTCTTTTATGAAAGCTATGTGAGTAAAAGACCAACCTCTTCTGATAAGCAAGTACTGCTACCTCACCACCCTGTTGGAATTATGTTACAATTATGATATTGTGTAATTCTCCAGGGAGTGTATGCTGTAGTGGAGTTTGCCAACCAGGAAAGTGTTACGTCTTTACTTGAAGGGGTGGCAATTCCTGGTGGCAGCCACGAATCCGCAGTGCCTTTCAAATCCAGACTGTTGTCACTCAGAAACCTCGGCTCAGTGGACTCATCAAACCAACTGTCAGGCCGGCAGTGCCAACCTCAGACCACTATTCCCATCAATGAGCTAATAAAGAGACTTTCCAGAGAAGAGAGTGTATGTTGACTTATCACATCAAAAGTTATACTTACATTTTAAGTCTTGTTTGAAGTTGATTGATTTGGATGTTTCCCATTTCCTGGTTTCCCTCAGATAGACAAGCAGATAAGCTCCTTGACTGAAGCCTATCAACTCACAGAGGAGAACAGCAGGCTGCGTTTCCTCGTCTGTTCTCTGCTCAAGGATATTGCTACCGCTTATTTTCCAGAATGCACCATCAAACCCTTTGGCTCATCAGTGAATGGCTTTGGAAAGCTTGGCTGTGACCTGGACATGTTGCTGGATCTGGACAGCATCACTGGACGCAATGTGAAACTGGTAATGAGGCTTTCTAGGTTTCTTTAGAAAATATTAGATTTATTGGCAAACAGTTTGCAGTGATTTCCTTGTGAGTTGTGAGGTAGCTTTCCTTTTAAGCATTTTATCTGCATCTAAACTAACTACTCCTTTGGTTTGTTTTGTTGTCTCTGACACCAAAAAAAGGCATATGAAAGAACCACGTTCTTCTTTTGCTTCTTTCGGCTCCCTTTGGGGGTCGACACAGCAGATCATCCGCTTCTATGTGACCTTAACGTCCTCCTCTGTCATCCATGAATCCTGTCTGTGGTCTTTCTCTTTTTCTGTTGACTTTGTCTCTAAAATGCTTAATCATAGCTGTCTCTCTGATGTACTCATTTCTAATATATTGAAAATCTTAGCATCACCATCTCCACCACCTCTAAGCTCTGCCTTCTGTGTTTGTTGTCAGTGCTACTGTCTTCAAGCCACACATCATAGATGGTTTCACGACCCGCTCATAAACCTTCCCTTCAGTCTTGCTTTCTTACTGTCATAAGTCGCCCCTGACACTCATTTCCACCCACTCACCCTGCCTGTACTCTGCTTGTCACCTCTCTTGTTCACTTTCCATTGCTTTGAATGCTTGGCTGCAGGCATTTGCACTTGTCTACCTTCACCGTTATAGGAAATTAGGTTAGTATTTTTAGACTTTTTTAAGTGCCTCTGCCAGCAATTGCGGATTTTCCACCACAATCACACATGAACCAATTTCATTTTATTATCCAGTGGCACTGAGGGAGCAATAAAACATGTGACAGAGTTATCAAACTTATTTAAGTTAATGGGCAACATGCTGTCCAAGTAGATCTCAAATGAGCTAGACCAGTAAACCCATTAAATAGCGGCATATAAAAAAATTCCCGTGAAGCACTTTTTGAAGTATATTCATATAATGAAACATCACAGATGGCTCATAAAAAGTAGGAGCAATTTGAAAAATATGCCGCAGTTTATCTTCTTTATGGTTGTTTTTATTCCAGAAGAATGCTTCTGTGCAGCAGGGGTTCTTGTTGTGTAGGTCTTACTTAGAAATGCATCCAGTGGCCTGCATTGAACCCTTTTGCAGGGTATGTTTGGCTCATGGCACATATGTTTGAAACCACCTATACATGTATATAAAAATTGCCCTCACATATTGATTTATCTCCTGATATCACCCCACAGCGACGCACTACCCAGAAATCCTTTGCATAAAACCAAACAAAGTGGTGCAAAAGTGGTTGCTTCTTTCTTTTTGCCATCTGCTAGATCCCCACTATCTCCAAACTAAAAATGCTGATGTGTTGGTCTGACTTTCAGACAGCTGATGTGCATGTGTCTGTCTTTAGTTTGTTTGAAAGCTATGAATGCACTTGCAGTAATGTAATGGTTAACTGGCAGCTCAACTAGAATGACCACAGATATCAACTTGACATAGAAGACAGTCACCCTGAAACATGTATTAGGTGAATACTTTATTTACATGTCATAAGACAGAAAGGTGTGGAGATACTATAGGATCAAATGGAAAATAACCACTGTATGCCTATTAAAGTGTAAACATATCTGTTATTCTGTATATTCCTCCCTGTGTGTGCAGCCTAAGTCAGGCCTCTCCCTGGAGTACCAGATGAAGCGGGCCAATTCAGAGCGAGCCGTTACTCAGAGCATCCTGTCTGTGATCGGGGAGTGCGTCGACCAGTTTGGGCCCGGCTGCGTGGGGGTACAGAAAATTCTCAACGCACGGTGCCCTCTGGTCCGTTTCGCCCACCAGCCGTCTGGCTTTCAGTGTGACCTCACAGCCAACAACAGGTACTCAGTCAGCGCAGATGTTCTGACGTCAGTGGAACGAGTAAAATGTCAGATTTGACTTGGTCACAGTTCTCTTGCTTCACAGTAACGTTACCCATAATACCATTTTTGACCACGCTTGCATTATAAAAGCTCCCAGACAGAAACCAGACTGTGGCAGGAAGTGCTACGATGGGTCAGTCTTGCATTTTTCCGCTGTGAAACTGAACACGAAGTGTGGGCTTGTTTGTGTTTCACTTCTTTTCCTTCCAACGTTATTGACTTGTGGTCTCTGCTGGTGTGTGACACAAGTACACAC